AACCACAGCACAAACTCCAAACTGCAAGCTATCATGAGGGTGATCATGCCTCAAATGCACCGCTATGCTCTCCCTGGTCATAAAGTAAGACCTGTTGCTGGCGCCACCAAGGGATGTCTGGATCTGGAATGGGCAAGGTTCCAACTCTGACCTCCGAATGCCCAAACTAATGCATGCAGCCTTGCCCAACATCAAGGGTTGTGCACCAGAATCCAACAAAACTCTGGCTGGGACATACACCTGTCCAGTAGAACTCACTAACCGAAATAGACCACTTCGGTTGTCCATCATACATACACCAGGAACAATACTCTCGCGATCAATGGCTGGGCGAGCTGGTAAGGACTCCATCCTTGCCGCTGCGGCCTGCCAAGTAGTCTCCTCGAACAATGTAGACGTGGAGGATGGGTCCTCAACTGTATCCTCACGTATCTCGGCACTCGTAGCAGCGACTCTCCCATGCTCACACGACGTGGCTGCTACCCGAAATACTCGAGCCAAATCAATACCAGAGTCTATCAACTCTGTGGCTGAAAACAATGGAGATCGCAAGACTGAAGTGGCCATCCGCATCACTGCACTAGATGGCACGTCTGGGTCCACAACAGATGATGTAAGAACCTCAGTTCTCACTCTAGTGTCACTAGGCGGTGCAGGTCTCATAGATGAACTGCTACCCACCTCTGACAACAAAAAGGACTGGGGAAGTCTAGACTGACGTCCGCCCTCACCCCTCTGAGGGTCCAACTCCATAGTCGCACCACGTGGCTCTGAAGTGCGAGCACCACCTCTGGTCACTGCAACTGATGCCTCAACCTGTGCTACACTGGCCAAATAGGAGAAATACTCTCCCTCGTAAGATGTGGAAGTGCTCGCCCCCAGACCAGCCATAGCAGCAAGCCTCTGCTCCAACTGCTCAATCCGAGCAGCCATAGCGCTAGGGTTGGAGGCACAGCCAAAAAGGCATGCCCCCGGGCGAGGGCATGGGGGCATGCCCAGGGGCATGCCTCATTTGCATTTTGTGTATGGGGCATGCCCGTATGTATATACGTATTAATCATACTGTAACTTCGGAATATTCGTATATGCGTCGTTTTTTTTCTTCTATCCAGGTGCGAAACTTTTTATGAATTTACGTCCCAGGTATTTAATCTGGTCTGGAAACAGCACTCAGACTCTCGTGTAGGGATATAGTGGACGTGGAAAACTCTTTAGTGTAATGGTTTAGTAGTTAGAATGTGATGTAGTTGTATAGTGCATGTGGAGATCATCTCACAGTATATTGTGCTGTGTTCTATAAATTATAAAGCATTGTTCAGTATACACTAATTACAACTAATTGTATATTAATTATATTTTAATTATAGTTACTTATTATACGTATACTCATGTATTGTACTTAATTTTATGTATACTTTGTATATACCGGATATATACGTATTGTGATACGGGCATGCCTGGGGGCACGGGGCATGCCTTTTGATCTGGAAATGGGGCACGGGCATGCTTGGAAAAATTTTATCGTGCCTCCAACCCTACATAGCGCTCTCTGTGGCGGAAGTAGCACTCGCTGCGGTACGCTCAATGGCCCCGGTACCTCTACCACCTCTACCACCTCGGCCTCGCGGAGCATCACCTCCACGACCTCTACCTCCAGATCTCAACTCAGGATGAAGGTCAAAGCAACGCTTTCGAGGGTGACCCGGTCGATGACAATGATCACAGGTCACCTGTGCCGGCTGTGGCCTAGCCTGTGGAGTTTGTCCCTCTCGCTCCTAGGGACAATCCTTCCTCATATGGCTACCTCCGCATGTCCAACATGACGGTCCCTGTGGCTGGCCCGAAAATGAAGGCAGTGGTGGCCGCGCACTAGGCTCTCTGTGACCTGAAGGATGTCGTGTATGACCTCCACGACTCCCACTTATGGGGCGAGACTGTGCTGGGCTATGTGGGATACGCGAAGTAGTAGTCGTGTCCCTCGCAAATGTAGACGTCACCTTTCTCTCCTCCACCATGTTAAGCTCAATCTTCTCAGAAAGAGCAAACACATGGGCTAATGTGGATGATGAGTCGCTCATGAGAGTAGCATCACGCACTCTCCTCCGCAACTCTCTGTCCAGGATCCGATACCAGTACTGGACAGCTTGTGCCTCAGTTACACCGTGAGTAACTGAGATGAGCCGTCGCATACGAGTGTATGCCTCACGAAGACTCTCACCAGTCTTTCGCTCAAACTCCTGGAGGCTACTCAACTTCTCCGTTTTCACCCCCTGATAATTCTTCCTCAATCTTTGGAAGAACTCAGGAATGGGGCTAAACGAAGGTACGCCACTAGCATCTCCTCTCGTGCTGCCACCGGCAATGCTAACAGTACCGCTGCTGGTACTAGTACCAGTTGCGCCAATTGCTCCACTGGTACCCTCGCTGATGCCACTACTCGTACCTCCACTGATGCCGATACTCGCACCTCCACTGGTACCCACACCACCCTAGGTAATGGATGAGTAGTTCGGAGATCAATGCCGTCTCCATGCATCAATCTCTGCAGCATACTCTCTCCCAAACTCATGATAATCGTCCATGGGAGGCCCCTCCAAATGCTGGAATAACCCCTTCCATGCAAAGAAGGGTGTAAACAACGTGGGGTTACGCAGAAACTACATATCACACCACGTGTCGAACTCCTGAATAAAATCATCAAGTTCGATGGTGCACATTGCACCAGAGTAACGTCGAGGGCCCTTCGCGGCCCCGTACATCCCGTCCATGTCTCAAATCAATGGGGTTGGAACACTAGACGTTATCACCACCAAAGACTCTGTGTCTGCAACACTTTGGTCCTGCTCCGCAACAACTGGCGAAATAGGTGAAGGAAGCCGATACCTCAATCCACTCCGCGTAAATCCACCGCGGTCCTCAACAGGACCACTAGACTGCTCCGTGATGACGAGACCTCAACTGGCACCACTGCCAGATCTCCACCCAATAACCCAATCCGCCCCTGACGCCGTGCTGCACTGAGCTACTCTAGCCCTACTAGCTAAGGGGTATGGGCAACCTAACCTGTCATCACAGCAAGAAGACTCTCACGGTCTACTGATCATCACTCCAGTCTCACCGTGAGAGAAACATAGATAGACCGGCCGGTGATCAAGTCCAGCCCCCTATCGCCAGCACACAGGAGTAAAACTACTCCGGAAATCAGCGTCACCCCTACACGGGCGCGCACCAGGAAGCAAGACTGGAGAGGATCCAAACACAAGCAACCAGCTAGCAACGACTCTCCAGTCTAAAGGAAACACAGCACAAAACAAGACAACACACACGGGACATCGCATCGCTTCGCGATCCCGATTCGATCTCCATCGCCCTCCATTTACGTGGGCCTCCAGTGCCTATGATGCCCTCTTCCACCAAATTGCAAACAAAAATTGTTTAAAAACTTTTTACTTTTTTTTTCTCCTTCACACAGGGGTCACACTGCCCCTCAACAAACACACTACACACTGAAAGCTCAATATATTGACTACGTCATATATATATTTACAATGCTGTCAAAACATCACGTCACAGATAGTGAGACCGGGTGCAAACTCCCGATCCCTTCAGGAACTCCTGTCTAAACGCTACAAGTATTTGCTATCAATCTTTTGGGAGACTATCAAGAAATTTCTCTAGTACAAGAATTTCTTCTGAAAGACAGTCTTGAACATACTGAACATCTCTCAAATGGTCGGCAATATCCTGCGAAAAGTCTAGTAACTCATCCTCACATACCCTGTACTCTAGGCCGGATTCCTCTAGAAGTTTTTCCACGGCTAATGCCTCGTCCCAATCTAACCCGGAATCTTTTTCTTCAACCACAACAGGGTTTACCAGATTCTCTTCTACTTGAGGCTGCATTGTCACCTCTTGCTCCTGATCACGTTCCTCGGTGCTGACGACCTGCACTGTCTGGATTTCTTGTATATCACTGTCGTCTGCCTTTCCTCCAAGCGGCATTTTCCCTTCACGCGTCACCACTTCACTGTGTACAAGGATTGTTTACAGAGTATACGTAAACTAAATCTGAAGGGAAGACTGAAAACTGTTTAACTATAAAACTATTAAAAGGGTTTAAAAGTTTCAAAAAAAACTTTGCATAAACAAATTCACTTTAACTAGTGAATTCGAAATTTTCTACTGCAAACTTAGCACTTATTGAGTAATCTCACAGTCAAGAGAGATTCTCCTGCCTGACAGAGCTCTTACGAGAAGCCCATTAACCTGAACCTGAAGCCCTGAAGTAAAATGTCGGTTACTGAAAGCTGTCCGACATATTCATCAGCTCGGTCGGCACTACTCCAAGCACATTTATAATTTTGCTGGATCTACTGTCTTTTAGGTTGAGCCTCCAAAAAGATCAATCCAACTCCGTCAGTCGGGAGGAAAGCCAAGAACGTATACTGGAATCTCTTATATTCTCATCTCGATTGAGAGCTTTCTGTGCGCAAATATCTGAAAAAACTTGTGGACCTGCCTGCCTCAATGCTAGGTTACAATAGCCAAATGTAATGACGACGGGTGGGACTATTCCCCGACAATAGTGGCTCTGTAATTACGACACTCTGTCCCGAGCAGCCACACACTGACCTGATAGACAGAAAAAGGTGTGAATGCCCGCCTCACTTTTCCCGACTCTACAAGCACCAACGATATCATGCTACAAAGAACCTACTCCATGTTTTAACCAATGTATCAACCTTCATCTCGCCTAAGCTCCATACGCAGGGCACATTCGAACTGTCCTGGAAAAGGATGCTTCAACTGTACTACTCCAGCAGTAATGGGCCCTTCTAATCCGCAGCATTACACTGCTGATTGGGCACCCTCCATACTTCCTGTAATATGAATGACGGTCGAGTAACACCATGCATATCCCAGATGATACGATAGGTGCTTGATGCTCCGATCAACTCTTGAACTTCAGTGCTAGTTTTTGAGCTTCTCCCCGGCATCCATCAGCATTTGCTGATGGATGCCGGGGAGAAGCTCTTCTTTGTATTTTCAGATATGGACGTACTTAAACCGCCGAATGTGTTCTTTGCCGCTTCTTGCATGTCCTGTGCGGTTTTAGAGACGACAGCGACAGTCTCTTGCTGTACTGCATGTACTTTTGTCCTCACACCCCGAAGTGACTCAGCTGTCTCTCGCTGGGCACTCGAAACAGCCCGGCCAATTGCTTCTAACAACTGGAAAAACCTCTCAAGGACTCTAGACTTCAGATCACCAGCCCTTGCCAGAAAATCCTGAACGGATGCTCGTTGCAAAAATTTGTTCAGCGAGGACTTAGGACCACTGTACTGCCAAGGCAAAGCCGGAATATTTTCCTCATCAAGTTCTTTATCTACATGTACCTGAATTCCTTGGCCCTCCCAGCGTTTTCTAGCCTCCTCTAGTACTTTGGCGTGTGCTCTAGCTGCTTTCGCTTCCTCTTCCGCCCACGCTCTGGCTAATGTAAGAGCTTTCTTCTCGACCTCTACTTCGGTTTTTAGTTCATGGAGTGTTCTCTCCTCCTCCTCTGCCTCTCTCCAAATCGCCAAATGTAAGTTGCACGTGCCAGAGCTTCGACTCGAAAGTAAAGTGTCACTGTCGAACAAGTAATAAAGCCCTAGAACCCTTCGAACTCCTCCGTATAAAACCACGGTCCTGAGAGGACTAGTACGCCTTGACGCCGTTCTATCCCGCTCAGCGACTAGAGTACGAAGATACAAAGAAGACACATGCACAAAGGGAGGCACTAAACGGAGTGCACTTTGACTGCCTTGTATTCGTGTATAGCTTGGACAGGGGTGTAAAGCAACACAGACAGCAACAACTGATCAAGCCGTGGACAGAGTAGGCTGGAAACAAAAAAGGAACGATGAGATACGAGGTCTTTCAAACGAGATCCGGCTCGTAATTCTGCTACATTCAGAGAACTTGAATCCACGAAACGAGATGTAGTGTCGACCAGAACAAGAAGTCTGAGAACGAACGCAGGAAGAGAATGGCAGATATCTCCGGAAGGTTTGAAATCGGTTCACAGTCAGCAGCAGCGGCGGCAACGGCAGCAGAAAGAAGAGGGATGGTGACTGCGTGTGACTCGCACACCATACGAAGCAAAATTAATGCTTCTCCCACGCAGGTCCAACTGAGCAAGATGCCCAACGAGGCCACGACGACGACAACCACCGCTCACAGTGAACAGATCGATCAAGGAATTGATCACAGAAACTCCGCTCGCCTCCGCAGGCCTCTTCCGCACGCAGCGAGCTCGCGGTCAAGCAGAGCACCAAAGTCTCGGCGCCCTCGAGAGCTTCGGCTGCAGCCACTGCGGGACGCGCAAGATTGAATCCGGAGCACGGGCCGCGCTCGAGAATCAAATCCTGGAGCCGAGCCAGACCCCGCGCTCCGTCCTTCCTCCTCTTGCTCTTCGCCCTCGTCCCCGTAAGTCACGACATATCGTTCTGTCCCATTGGAGCAACCATGAACCATAGTGAAAATCTCCGGCACGCTGACCTCCACTACAACCAAAACCCCTTGAGAATTTTCTCCCGTGCTTCCCCACCACCGACACACACAATCGTAATCCTTCCCACTGACCTCACGTTTTCGAAATAACAGTACAGTCGGATCTTAATCACTTCGAGTGTTCTTGTCAATTCACGAAATTTCCCGAACGCATACTTTTGGGATTTCCATCTTTGGGCAAACAGAGTGTACTAACTGCAAGTTCTCAGAGGATTCAATCACCGCACAGCAGTCCAGCCTCTTCCCGCGAACCGAATGAACAAAACCAAATCAAGCTTCGGACTGATTCTTCCCTCTTCTCGTGGAAAATTTCCAACCAAAATCCAACATTTTTTTCTCAGTATTCCTGTCACTGATTCCAGTGAGTCAAAAAGCCCTTTCCAGCGATTCAGATTCTGAACCCAAATCTCTACCTTGCCCTTTGAAGCCACACGAACGAAAACTGAATGCTATCCTGAAACTTCAGTTTTCAGACTCCGACGCAATCTTCAAAATCCCTACTTCCGAACATCAAATCTCAGAATCTTTCTGCACAGATTTCTTGATTTAAAACCCTGAATTCCTCAGACTTTCAAATACATAAATTGCCCAAAGGTATAAACAAACCACAAAAGAGAGAAACACACGACGAAAACACAAAGAGGCAGAACGGAACGTAAAACGGTTACACACAAAAACGTCGATAGTTCTTCGAGTCAAAAGAACGGGAGATTCCCCACTGGAATTCCCGTCGGTCAATTACCCTACTGGCAACAAACCGTCACCGTCACAAACATGAGTCAAGCCCAACCCACTCCACACTCGGAGAATCCAGGTCGACGCAAAGGGGAAAGTCACTCTACGCTCCCAACGCTTCCAGGCTCGACTCGAAGAACTAACGTTCTTCGAGCCATCCCCGACTCTATACCCCTCGTGACCGAACCCTAACTTCACATCTAAAGATAGTAAGTGACTAAACTGCGTGAGCCGACTCGTAACTACATGACAACTAACCTAGCTACAAAAGTGCAGCAATTGAATAATAAGAGGCCTCGATAGTCCCATAATCTATCAAATGCACGATTTTTGGGTTTTCAAAATAAGAACCTACACATGTGACAGCTACCTCGGAGAACTAACTTAGCTACAAAAGTGCAGCAATGGAATAATAAGAGGCCTCAATAGTCCCATAATCTATCAAATGCGCGACGAGCATTGGTAATGCATTGAACTTGATGTTCTTCACACCACAGCACCTTGTCTCACTACGTTCGCGCAAGATCCAAAAGCAAGTACCACAACGATTGATAAAGAAGCGTCACGAGCCATGCACTGTTTTGGAATACGCGATTGTTACCTTTTATCCAAATGACCCAAATGCAGCTGCCGCGCATAAGCAACCATGTGGGATAGAAGTCCTGATGCATCAGGACGAGAGGCATGCCAAAAATGCATTGCTTCCAGGTCGCAAAATGGCAAGATCACCACCTGTTGATGCGGCCTCGACAAGCGCTGGAGTATAAGCGTAAGAAATTGCCATGTCTGCTACGCCCGCTTTCAGTGATAGAAAGAATGAAGAATCGATTCGGGAACGTTAGTCGTGCAGCATATACATGTTGCGGAGAGTATCGGGACAGCGTCGTGCCGCCACTCATTCATGGCCACAACGTGGTGATAAACGCTCCATAGAAAAGCCGCATCTTTGCTTGGGTGAGCAGAATGTCACACCTCCTTCTAGTCCGAGATGAAGTTAGTATTCAGTGTCCCAGCCCACTTCACACTGATAGGGACAGTGAGTTTGTTGCGAGTATGGAGAAGGAGTCGGCCGCTACGGGCCAAATATGAGAGAAGAGGGTTGACTGAGCGCCATTGCCATCACCCAAGATCAAACACGAGCCGTGTTTGTGGCGCCATGTAGTATTGTCGTGTGATCAGACGTCTCTAATGTCGAGTCGTGATAGTATGGATCCGTAGACAAAAAATTTGTCCAATCACCAGAGGAACCGGGATAGTCGGCTTTGGCAGAGGCAAAGTCGACTATACGACGCGAGCAAACACCGATGAAATTCTGTGGTACAGAGTAAGGGACTACCAAATTCTCAGCAGGGATGCTCAATGAGAGCTGGAACTCATCTGTGGTTTGAAAAACCAACACAAGATCCATCTTCGTGAAAGCCGGAAAAAGTCCTAGCCATTCACCCGAATGTGAGTTGTGATCAGTGCAATGGAGCAGTTTGTTCCAATCGCGTGAGACATGGACCAGCAAGGAAGCTATTAGAGGCTGTTCCTCAATTTTTAATCCAAATGCCGTGGCAAGCTTTGGCCAAAGATGCATCACAACGGAGCTGCCCATCCACAAGTCGTAAAGACAGTTTAGACCTCGGTAGTCAAACAGTTGGACTCATGTCATGTGTCTTTGTATTTGCTGAAACTAAGGAGTAACTTCTAAAGTTCAAGAATTTCTTCAGTCATAAATTCTTGAACAAACTAAAAATTACTCAAATGATATGCAGCATCCTTGGGAAGGTCTAGAAGCTCATCTTCACAAATTTTGTAATGAGAATCGGATTCTTTCAACAGTTTTTCCTCTAAAAGCTCCTCATCCCAATCTAACTACAGCATGTCTTGCTGATCATCTTTTAACACAACATCATTCATCTGATCTTTTGTACTTGGAGCTGCAGAGTCAATTCATGCTCCGGATGCTCAGGTTCTTCACTTCTAAAGACCCCATCGTCTAGACCTCTTGCATCTCACAACTTATCTCCAAGCGGCCTTTTTCTTTTCACAATTTTAAATCTGACTGTGTACAAGGTTTGTTTTACATGATATTGGTAAACAAAATCATTGAATGAGGGACTGAAAACAATTCAACTATAAAACTATTAGACAATTTTAATAAATTTACATAGCTATTTAATAACACGTTAACTTTAACTAGTGAATTCGGAACGTCACTAACTCCTTCTTGACTATAAATGATGAAGTTGACAACCAGACTATCTTCACACTTCCGTAACTCTTAAGATGCACAATTTAGTAAATTTCCTACTGTAAACTACCACTGTAAAAGTGATACAATAAAACTGAAGGAAATTAAAGATCTACATGGGTCAACTTCAACTCTTGATTTCACCACTTGACATCATTTTAACACGGCTCTCTGTCGCCATTTATGTTGCTATTCCCATGCCCTAGAAACAAACTCTTGCATGACCCGTTGCAAATTCTTGAACATGTAAGGAGTAGGGTTATGTATAATACTGAGCATCAAACTTTGATGGATTTTAATATTGTATTATACTGTATTAAACTCAATTAACTCAGTATAGTAATCTAACGGATGAGATATAACGGATATCCGTTAAATCCTCTAACGTTGACACGTGTCTACCCACAAGAGGCTTCACTGCAGCTCCGAATTAACACAATTGAAGAACATCAAAGTGCACCGAAGGACACTGAAGTACATCAAAGTGCACTGTGAAAATTGATCGAAATTCACACTATGTCAGACATTGAAAATCGACTCTGTGTAGTAACGGATTCCGATAGTATCGAAGTGCAGCGAAGTTAGAAACTCAAAGGGAACCAAAGCAAATTTTAGCGACTGATTTCAATAACGCACTCGATAAAGGTATAAACACAGTTCGAAACACAGATCCCACTCATGTTGATCCACCTGTATGCACATCTATCTCTAAGGTCCTTCACAACTTGCACAGCACAGTCGAAAGCAGTATGAGCTATAGACAGGTTCCTCTCGGCATCTACTTTCGAAGACATCCACAATCATGGCGTCACGGCGATGCACTTGGCGACGACGCACTGGCGCACGGCGAACAAAATTATTCAATCTTTTGAAAAATCAATTCAATTTAATACAATAAAATACATGGACTTTTGAACTTTTGGATGGAATTTTGAAGCCCTGTATTATAGTGTATAATACTATGTGTATAATAATCTAGTTTAATCGGTACAGATCACTAATAAGGAGCCAAAAATATGGTCTTGATGTGCTTCTCCACAAGAAATAAAGCTATGTTCTCAGTTTTTGCTCACATACCCTGCAGCAACAGTAAATAATCCGAAAAGCGGGTGTGAGGTGTCCAACTCTTTGTCACTATACAAACCCAGAGCTTCAACACTACAGTAAAGTATCAGTTTTGCAGCAAGTAATAAAGCTCCAAAACCCTTCAAACTCCTTAGTATAAAACCACGGTCCTTGCACTCCAATCCTAACTCACTTCCTGTACTAATTCGAGCATGTAGGTCCTCCGCAACTTTGGGAGCAATACCATGCTCTCCACCTATTTGCCATGATCTTCTCTTCAAAGATTTAACCGTCTAAGGCTGCAATCAACTCCAACTCAATCTGGTGTACAGTGTGTGGCTCAGTTCTTGCAAGTTCCAAGCCGAAACTCAGCCATTTCCTCCATAGCCAATCTCACCGCTGCATTCACATCCCTTACTAGGATGCGCTTGCCAAACTAGTAAAGTTAACAACGGAGTATTATCTACACTACTAATTATCAGTCAGTTGGCTACGGCACACTGTCAGCAAAAGAAGCAAAACTTTATGGTATTGTAGGTCACCGGCTCATTCTTCAACAGGCACGCGGTTAGAGCTTTTTTTTCTAAAAATCCTGTTGAATTTGTAATGAATTTTTGTGCATTAGGATCTACTAGAAAGTGTCGCTTCAGGAAAAATGGGTAAACAATAATAGTTAGCCAAGGAAAATGGTTCATAATAAAGATAAAAAAAAAAATTAGCCATTTGCATTAACTGTGGCAGACTGATGGTCATTACGGCCTTTCCATATCGATTTCCTTTCCCACCCTTGTATCTGCCACCATAAAATCCACACCTCTTTGGCCTCATCAACTTTATCTCTAGTTTTTGAACCTTTAGCAAGCTCTTCCCAAACTTGAGAATTGACCAATATCTACTCGCTTCTTTATCAAACTAGCTTGTTTGTGAT